ATACTCCATAGTCTCTCACGAGGTCATAGGGCCCAGTAGGAAGTATGAACCGACTGAAGTGATTCAACACCTGGTATTTCGGCCTTTTAACCGCACAACTTCCTGAGAGTGCAGTGGTCCTATTAGGGGCGTTTCCGACGTGCTCTTTGGCTGGATGGTTCTTGTTGCCCAAGCAGCCGCTCAAATCGCATCATTAAGGGCAATGAAAATGATACGGCTCATATTTTTGCGATGGGTCTGCGCTGTTCATCCAACGCTCCTTTGATTACAGAACAACTCCGCTCACGAATTTTTTCATTCAGGTAGAAAGATTGCAGATTCCGACAGCCCCTGTCACAAGTGCGGCCGTCTAGAGCGTGACCACCATCATCGCCGAAAGAGCTGTCGCGTGCGTTCCTAATCGCTGGTCTACATTGAGCCGCGCGCGACGGAGTGGGGAATTTCGATTGTCTTGACCGTCTTCTCAAAGAGAAACGTTGAAAATCGCTTGGGTAAGTGGCCAGCAGAACGCCAAGCTTTCACATATGACAGGAAAAATTATAACAGCCTCGACCGCTAGTATAAGTTCAACAATTCTCAGGAGACGAGAGCCAGTCTGTCACTTATAAGATGGTCCTTCCTAGTAATTTCTTCACACCCCTCCCCTGCACTAATGAAACTTTCTGCGCTGCGAAGAAAACCATATTGAACGAATTTGATCATTCATTGGTCCAACAGCACGCTGTAGGCTTTGTTGTACAGGCAGCCGCTCAAATCTCATCATTAAAAGCGAAGAAAACGATTCGGCTCTCTTTTTTCGCGACGGGTATTGCGCTGTTCCGCTTAACGCCCATTTCATGGTGATCAGCAGGCAGCCGTGCTTAGGAACTTCTTCATTCAAACAGGATGACTGCTTCGACTGGTCATTGTTAAAAAGGACATCGGCTAGCTAGCTTGATCATCACCATAGCCAAAAATAGGCGGTCACGTAGAAACCAGTATCGTTCCCGATATCCTAAGAACACCCGAAGGGACAGGAGTATGAGCGATCAGCTGTCATAAACACGTATACTCCTCTAGATGCACTGCGAATCATCC